CAGAGCCAGACTCTGTCTCAAAAAAAAAAAAAAAAAAAGAAAGTCCCACCTAGTTCAGCACCAGAAAATCCACACTGATGCATTTTCAAGAAGGTCTGACCTCATTCAACACGAGAGGATTGACATCAGGCCAAGGCCTTACGGGTGTAGTGAATGTGGGAAGGCCTTCCTTACACAGGCTTATCTTGATGGTCACCAGAAAACCCATACTGGAGAATGGCCTTATGAATGCAGCGAATGTGGGAAATTCTTTTTGGACAGCTACAAACTGGTTATTCATCAGAGAATTCACACTGGAGAAAAGCCTTATAAATGCAGCAAATGTGGGACATTCTTTAGATATCGTTGTACACTGAGTAGACATCAGAAAGTTCACACTGGAGAAAGACCTTACGAGTGTAGTGAATGTGGGAAATTTTTTAGAGACAGCAACAAACTCATTATTCATCAGAGAGTTCATACGGGAGAAAAGCCTTATGAGTGCAGCAACTGTGGGAAGTTTCTTAGATACTGCTCTACATTCATTAAACATCATAAAGTTTGCAATGGGGAGAAGCCTCATGAGTGCAATAAATGTGGGGAATTGTTTAGGATTAAATCGAGCCTTATTACACATCAGCAGCCTCACACTGGAGAAGTCCTTTTAAGTTAAGGGGATGTGGAAAAGACTTCAGCAACAAATGTAATAATGGTCAGTGCCAAAAAATTCACACTGGAGAAAGGTCTCATGAGTGTGGTGAATGCAGCAAAGTGTTTAAATACAATTCCAGCCTCATTAAACATCAGAGAATTCACACTGGAGAAAGGGCTTAGGGCAGTGAATGCAGGAAAGTCACCAAAATCGTCACCTCATTCAGCATGAAAAAGTTCACATCAGAGGAAGAACCTATTAGTATATGCAAATCTAATGTTGAAAGAGTTCAGACAGAAATCTGCGAGGATTTCCTGCTGGGAACTACGTTAAAAACATTTATGGTCAGGCGTGTGGCTCACGCCTGTAATCCCAGCACTTTGGGAGGCAGAGGTGGACGGATCACCTGAGGTCAGGAGTTTGAGACCAGCCTGGCCAACATGGTGAAGCACCCATCTCTACTAAAAACACAAAAATTAGCCGGGCATGGTGGCGGGTGCCTGTAATCCCTCAGGAGGCTGAGCTACTCAGGAACTACTCAGGAGGCTGAGGCAGGGAGAATCACTTGAATCCAGGAGGCAGAGGTTGCAGTGAGCTGAGATTGTTCCATTGCACTCCAGCCTGGGTGGCAGGGTGAGACCCTCTCAAAATAAATAAATAAATAAATAAATTGTGGCAAATTATAGGTAACTTAAAATCTATCATCTTAACCCATATTTAACTATACTGTTCAGTAGCGTTAAGTCAGTCACATTGTTGTCAATTAATATCCAGTAGTTTTTTCAATTTTACGAAACTAAAATATTATACCCTTTAAACCAGGGGCCCACAACCCCCAGGCTGCAAACTGGTACCAGTCTGTGGCCTGTTAGGAACCGGGCCAGCATCACCACCTGAGCTCCACCTCCTGTCAGATCAGCAGCAGCATTAGATTCTCATGGGAGCGTGAGTCCTATTGTGAACTGTGCATGTGAGGGATCTAGGTTGTGTGCTCCTTATGAGACTCTAACTAATGCCTGATGATCTGCGGTGGAACAGTTGTATCCTGAAACTATCTGCCCCCTCTGTCCCTGATGCATGGAAAAATTGGCTTCCATGAAACCAGTCCCTGGTGCCAAAAAGGTTGGGGACCGCTGCTTTAAACCACTCCTCCTCATTCCCTACTCCAGCCCCTGACAACTACTACTGTATGAATTTTACTACTTTAAATATCTCACATAAGTTTTAGTCTTTTGTGACTTATTTTGAGGTTTATTTCCCTTAATGTCTTCAAGGTTTCCATGTTGTAACATAGCTTATAATTTTCATCTTTGTTTTTTGCTTTTTTTTTTTTTTTTTTTTTTTTTGCTCTGTCGCCCAGGCTGGAGTGCAGTGGTGCGATCTCGGCTCGCTGCAAGCTCCGCCTCCCGGGTTCCCGCCATTCTCCTGTCTCAGCCTCCCAAGTAGCTGGGACTACAGGCGCCCGCCACCGTGCCCGGCTAATATTTTGTATTTTTAGTACAGACAGGGTTTCACTGTTAGCCAGGATGGTCTTGATCTCCTGACCTCGTGATCCACCTGCCTCGGCCTCCCAAAGTGCTGGGATTACAGGTGTGAGCCACCACGCCCAGCCCTCATTCATTTTTTTAGTGCTTATACTAAAGATATGAGGGGTTCACACACCACAACTACAGTATTAGAATATTCTCAATTTGTCTGTGTATTTACTTTTGCCAGTAAGTTTTATTTCTTCAGATGATTTCTTGTTGCACATTAGCATTCTTTTCTTTCAGATTGATGAACTCTCTTTACTATTTCTTGTAAGACAGACCTGGTATTGATGAATTCCCCCAGCTTTTGTTTGCTGGGAAAGCTTTTATTTCTCCTTCATGTTTGAAGAATATATTTGATGACTAGAATATTCTTGGTTGAAAATGGTTTCCTTCAGCACTTTAAATATGTCTTCTCACTTTCTTCTGGCCTACAAGATTTCTGCTGAGAAGACTGCTGCCAGATGTACTGGAGTTCCTTTATATGTTATTTGTTTCTTTTCTCTTGCTACCTTTCCTCTTTTACGTCTTTGACCTTTGAGAGTTTGATTGTTATATGTCTTGTGTTGAATCTGGTTGGCATTCTTTGACTTTCTTATACCTGGGTATTCATATATACATATATATATGCATGTGTGTGTGTATATATGTATATGTGTGTGTGTGTCTGTGTATATACATACATTTGGAAAGTATAATTATTTCTTTGAATAAATTGTCTATCCCTACATCCTTCTCTACACCCTTTTAAATCACTCTTAGACTTGCCCTTTTGTGGCTATTTTCTGTATCTTTTAAGCACAGTTCTTTTTCTTTTTTCTCCTCTATATTTTCAATAGCCTGGATTTAAGCTAACAAATTCTTTTTTTTTTTCTTCTCCTTCTTTTTTTGAGATGGAGTCTTGCTCAGTCACCCAGGCTGGAGTGCGGTGGCGCGATCTCGGCTCACTGCAAGCTCCACCTCCCAGGTTCATGCCATTCTCCTGCCTCAGCCTCCCAAGTAGCTGGGACTACAGGTGCCCGCCACTACGCCCAGCTAGTTTTTTTGTATTTTTAGTAGAGTCGGAGTTTCACCGTGTTAGCCAGGATGGTCTCGATCTCCTGAAGAGTCGGAGTTTCACCGTGTTAGCCAGGATGGTCTCGATCTCCTGACCTCATGATCCGCCCGTCTCGGCCTCCCAGAGTGCTGGGATTACAGGCGTGAGCCACCGCGCCCGGCCACTAACAAATTCTTCTGCTTATTCAATTATGCTGTTGTTATATTCCAAAGTATTTTTCAGTTCATCCATTGTCTTTTTCAGCTCTAGGATTTCGTTTTGTTTTTTTTTTTTGTAATTATTTCAATCTCTGTTAAATTTCTCTGCTAAAATTCTGAATTCTTCATGTTTTCTTGACATTCTTTGAGCTTCTTCAAGACAGATATTTTGAATTCCCTGTCTGAAAGATATTCCCTGTCTGATAGATCTCTATCACTCCAGGGTTGGTCACTGGGCAGCTTATTTAGTCCATTTGATGAGATCACATTTTCCTGAATGTTCTCAATACTTGTGGATATTTGTATATGACTGAACACTGAAGAGTTTATTTATTCCAGTCTTCACAGTCTGGCTTTGCTTGTACCCGTTCTTCTTCAGAGGGCCTTCCAAGAATTCAAAGGGTACTGAGTGCTGTACCAAGGGTACTAAGCTGTAGTCACTGCAGCCATTTCAGCACTAGAGGGTACCATAATCCCAAGTATGCAATAAATCTTGCAGACTCCTAGATACCCAGACTAGATACATGTGGGAAAGAGAAGAAAATGTTCTCTTCTCTCTCATTCCCCCAAGTATAAGAAGTCTCTCTCTATATACCAGGCTGCCTGTAATTGGGGGAGAGGTGACAGGGATTCCTGTGTTCATCACAGCTGGCATCACAGTAATGCTAATCTAAACCCATGGACTCTACGACCAGCACAGGACTGGAGTTGGGGGAGGGGTATGGCGCACTCCCTTGGCTGCTACAGCTGGTGTCATACTGGGTCACATACACCTAAAGTCCACAGCCTTAGAGACCACTGCAGCACCAGGGCTTGCCCAAGGACTGCAGTCCTTGTGACCTAATTGCCACTCAAACTTATTCTGGGCCCCAGGCCACTTCAGTCAGCTGTTGGTGGTGCCAGCTGAGACTCAGGTTCCTTTCACGGGGGTTGAGGATTTGCTTCTGGCCCCAGGCTGGTCTAAATGCTCTCTCCATGGGCACAAGTAGAATTGTGCCGTGTTGTGTTCTTCCATGCCTGGGCAGCACCGGTTCCAATGCAAAGTCCCACACACACTTCACGCTCTCTTCTATAAGCACACAGATTTTTCTTTGCATGTTGGTCTGCCAAGGGATGGGGAAGGGGTGGTTTGGGCAATGCAAGACTTTTCCTACCCACTTCAATGCCTTTCTTCTTGACATTATGTTAAAATCAGGTACTCTGATAACTCATCCAGTTTTCTGGTTCTTATGAATGTGCTTTCTTGCATGAGTAGTTGTTCAGCTGGTGTTCCTGTTAGGAGAAAATTGATGAAGGTTTCTCTTTGGCCTTCTTGCTCCACTCTGATTTTTCTTTTTCTAGATTTTTACATAAATTGAATGATACTACATGCAATCATCTGCATCTGGCTTCTTTCACTGAGCTTAAGGCTTTTGAGTTTCGTCCATATTATGTATAGACATCCTTTTATATTGCTGGATAGTGTTCCACTTCATAGAGATGGCTACAATCGATTGCTGCTATGGACATTATTGTGTATATCCAAAATTTATACGCTGAAATCCTAATCCCGTAGTACCTCGAAATGTGATGTATTTGGAGGTAGGACTTTAAAGAGGTAATTAAATTGAAATCAGTCCATTAGGTTGGACCCTAATCTGACCAGTGCCCTTATAAGACATTAAGACACACAGACACCAGGGGTACACATGCATAGAGTGATGGCCTTGTGAAGAGACAAAGAGGGCAGCCATGTGCAAGCCAAGGAGAGTGGCCTCAGAAATCCAACACTGCCAGCATCTTAATCTTGGACTTTAGAATTGTTAGAAAATTAATTTCTGTTGTTTGAGCCACCCAGTCTGTGGTATTTTGTTATGGCAGCCCTAGAAAATTAATGCAATTACTCATTCACCTATGGATGGTCATTTGAGAATTTTTAAAAAATGTTCTAGTTATTGGTTAGATGTGAAGTTTCCACACCTTCTCCCCACAAAGTCAAGGCACATTACCCTCCTGGTACATCATGTTCACCAACCAGGAAACTCCACCAAGCCTCTGCGTCAAGAGTTCTAAGTTGGTAGGGAGGAACGAGGAGGGGGTATCTCATTTTGTAGCTGTGATTAAATCACAACCACATGGCTGACTTCAATCTCTAGTTCCTTTCCTCTCCCCAAAGGTCAATCTGGCTCAAAGTTTCAACCCTCTTATTACATGGTTGGTCTTTCTGATGAAAAGCCCCCATTCTGAACCTTTCTAGGA